TAGGAAGGGACATTTGCTGTCCACCAGCCTGTACCAGAGTAACCCTGCTCTCACTTGCCTAACTACCATTCAGGGTAATAATGATGGCTAAGAATGTGGCTAAGTTGTAGAATACTTGCCTAGCATGTGCAAGGTCCTAAGTTTCATCCCCAGCACTGTACTAACATTACCAATAACAATAATAAAAATAGATGGAGCTGGTTAAAAAATGTTTGCTGAGCACTGAACTGGACTACCTATAACTTCTCTTTGGCTCCAGAATCTGGTGGTGTCCAGGGAAATTAAAAAGCTGGAAAGAGGACAGCCACATCATGGCAGGCTTGGATTCCAGATCAGGGACTTGGCTCCGTGATCTGGGGGAGTCCTAGAGCTGAATCCCTACCATGTCAGCCAGGCAGGGATGGAAGTGGGCCGTGGTCACTGGGCAGAGGCCAAGGCCAGACACTAGAGATCAAGAGGACTAGTGTCATAATGTTGCTAGGTAGGCTTCACATATCTTTTTATGACATGTTTTATCAACGAATACAAACAAGTATATACAAAATTTAAGTCTCTGTGTCCCAAGAATGTGTGTACACTTATTTATTATAAATTATGCACATTTATAATAATGTGTTAATGTTATGTGTACTATAAAACAAGAAAAATAGGTATTTTAAAGATGAGAATAGTTTTTTTAAAAAGCCATCTTGCACTCCCACTGAAGTGTCTGTACCCCACTCTGGAGAACGTGGGGCTGCAGGGAGGAGGCTGGGTACCTGGATGAGGCCGGTGTGAATGAACACACATGGAAAAAGAGCACTGCTCCTAAACACAGTCGCACTACCTCCGTGCTCTGCAGTGCCCTTGTATCCCCTGCACTGTTTGCTCCGGACTCCTTTAATTGACTCACTTGGGTTTTTGTTTGTTTTAGTTTTAGTTGTAGTTTTAGTTTGAGTTTTCTTAAATTTAGCTTCATTCTAAGTACTAATATACACAAAAGTCTCTCCATACAGTTAGAGTTTTCTTCTAGGGCCCATTAAATACAAAGCTATAAAAACAGAACTTTGTCCAGAGACCACTTCAGAGTCACCTGTGGGCTCTCATCTGTGTGACAAGAGCCACTGATCCATAGCATTGATTTGAGATTGCGAGATCAGGGGGCTCCTAAGAGTAAACCTCCCAGATGTCCTATTCCCATATGGACCTGTGTGGGGTGCACTGTTCATGTCAGGTTGGCTGCAAGCACAGTTGTACTAACAGAGCCTGGAGAGAGTGGCAGGAGAGAGTATGTTCCCTGATAAGAGACTTTGTACACATTGATTGCAGACTGTGTTGGGCTGCAAGCTACCTGCTGTGTCCAGCTACCTGGATTCAGTGCCAGCCCTGCCTACTGCCAGAACCTCCTGCGCTGGGATACATTACCACGTGCCCATTCAAGAGATACTTGTTGTTCATCTGCTCTCTGCCAGGTGCTATAGTAAGCAGTAGAGATGCAGGAAGAAGAAGACAGCTAGCTACTCTTTGGAATCCCATAGTCTAGTGAGGGGAGGCTAACATTAAACAAGCAAAACCATTGAGAATGTAAAATCCAGGTAGTTATAAATATTGTAAAGTAAAATCAAGGAAGAGGAGAGAGGATGAATCTCCTGTATAGAATAATTTCAAGTCATTTGTGTAGTTTAGAGCACAACTCTCCTTTCTTTGGATGTGATGTGTGCTTAGTGACTTCCTCCCACAGAGCAGGCCCGAAGGAAGAGGAAAAGTGACTTTGCAGTAGGAAGCCCAGTGGACAGTGGCTTGGCCAAGCACTAAAGATGAACAGTGACAGTTATCAGTTATATTGATAGTATGTACCCTGTATATGATGTGATATGAAGGTTATTTCCACTCTGTGGTCTTTTCCTAGCACCCAGAACCCCAGTCTTACATTCTACACAAGCAGTAATCAACTATAGAAATGATCCCTGAAAGGATAGGCTCACAACCTCAGTGCTGGTGTCAGAAAAAATCAGATCAACCCAGGGTAAGGGACTCTACAAAATCTCTGACTAAAACTCAGACTGTGAAGATGATCAAAATCAAGGAAAGTGTGAGAACCTGCCACAGCCTGGAGGGTCCTAAGCATGATGACAGTGTAACATGGGATCCTGGAACAGAAAAAGAACATTGAGAAAGAATGAAATCTGAACAAAGCATGCAATTTAGTAATAATCACTTAAAAAGAAGTAAAGACCATGCCCGTAAGCCTAGCATTCTGGAAGTTAAGGTAGGAGGAGGTTCAAGGTCAGCCTGGGCTACATAGCAATGTGTATATCCAACAACAACAACAAAAAAAAAACTAAATGAATAAAAAGAGATAAAGAAAAATTAGGTAGGTCATTCAAGATGTCTTCAGGGAGGTGACACTTGAGCTCAGCCTTGGAGGACGGATTGTGTCACACTTGGGTAGGGAAGACCAGGGCAGAGAGCCTTCCAGACAGTGGGAATGTCTGTGTAAAGATCTTGGGGTATTGAGTATCATTGAAAAGCCCAGCACAGCCAGAATGTGAGGAGATAGCAAGGATCAGAGAACCAAGAGGTGAGGTCAGAGATGGATAGGGGCCAGGTTGTGTGCGGCCTTGAGCAATGGGACAGTGTTGGCATTTCATCCTGGCTATGATGGGAAGGCGTTGAGAGTTTTGAACAGAAGGGTGACATGAGCTAATTTCCACTTAAAATCACTTGGGTTTGTGTGGAAAATAAAGAAAGGAGCAAGAAAGAAACAAGAGGCCAGTCAGGAGGCCCTTGTGCAGGTGCTGGGCAAACTGCAAGGGAGGCCATGGTGGACCCTAAGGAAGGATGAGACCATCTTCTCTGTTTCTCCTCCAGTATGTCTCTCAAAGATGAGAGTCGTAACCAGAAGCCTGAATTCCACGGGCTGATTGAGCAAGTTCTCATCCACATGGCAGGGACCTCATAACAAGGGCACTTAGAAACACAGCTCTCCATTTTTAATTCTAGCTGTTTTCCTTTGGTGTTTCCTAACTTTTTCTGAAAATAAGAATGTACATAAAGTTGGTTGCTGTGAGTTGTTCTTACTTACTCAGAGTAGCGGGTAAGGTTACAGAACTCCCTTGGTCTTGCCCCTTCCAAAAGATGTGAGTTGATTTTTTTGTTTTTGTTTTTGTTGTGTTTTGTTTTTTGTCTTTTTTCGTTTTTATCAGTACCAAGCATCGAACTCACAACTGCCTGCTTGCAAAGCAGGCGCTTATGCTAAATCCCCAGCCCCTGAGTTGGTGTTCTTTCTAAAGTGTAAACAACTTCAAAAATACTTTCAGTGAATTTGGTTATGTCTTTTTAACTATATATTCTGCTTTCCAAGCTATCTGAAGTCCTTTGAGAAGAAAATATGGTATCAATAAAGCAAAATAATTCTTTAAAATCACAAAATAAAATAAATGATTACAATTTGTGTCATGTCATCAAAATCAGGGCCATGTTTTTTGGCATTGCCAGGCTGAGTAGAGGGATTCTGATCCAGTCTTTTTTTATTGGTATGTTTTAGATATTCATAGTGATAACATTCATCATAGGAAATTTGTACCTGTGCGTGGTGTATCTTGCTTCTTTTTTTCCCATTCCCCTTCCCTTCCTCCAGCCCCTCTGCTGCTCTTTATTTAAAAACCCTTTGTTTCCATTTTTCTGTTTTTTTCTTAACTCTTCTTTTCTCTCCTTCCTTGTCCCCCTTCTCATTTAAGCATTTTTTATACCAGTTCTCAATATATATTAGACTTTTTGATCCTTATTTACACTTTTGGTTTCTCATACCAAAGAAACTGCAATATTTACACATGCATATCTGATTTATTTGACAAGAGTGTGTCTCTAGTTGCATCCACTTAGCTAGAAAGCTTATCCTTCTCAATCGCAGAGTAGTAGTACATTGTATTTATAAAAAAAAAAAAAAAACAACCCACATCTTTATTCATCCATCCATTCCTGGGCATTTGGGTGTTTCCAAGTTTTAGCTATTACAAACTGTGTCATTGTAAACGTGGGTGTACGTATATTGCTGTGGTATAATGCTTTGAGTTCTTTTGGGAAAATACCAAGAAGGGGAATAGCTGGATTTTAGTTTTCTTGAACAATCTCCATACTGATTTCCCCAGTGATTGCACCAGTCTGCACTCCCATTAACAGTGGAGAAGGGTTCCTTTTCCCCCACAGCCTCTAGCATTTGGTACTGGTTAGTTTCTTGATAATAGCCATTCTTTCTGAGGTGAGAGGGAATCTTATCATTGTTTTAATTTGTATCTTTCAAATGATCAGTGGTGTTGAACATTTTTTGTATTTTATTTGCCATTTCTATTTCCTCATCTGATAGGTGTCTGTTCATTTCAGATGCCCATTTTTGGATTGGATCTTTAAATTTGAGTGTCTGATTTTTTTGAGTTCTTTATATATTCTACATAGTAGTCCTTTGTCTGAAGGATAGCTGGCAAAAATGTTTTCCCACATTGTGGGCTATCTCTTCACTCTGTTGGTGGTTTCTCTTGCTGTGCAAAGGCTTTTTAATATGTTGTGATCCCAATTGTTGATACTTTGTGATAGTTCATGTGTAATCAGGGTTTTGTTCATAAAATCTTTATCTGTACCAATATCTTCAAGAGTTCTACCAGCAGATTTAATGTTTCTATTTTAATATTTAGATCTTTGACCAATTCAATTTTGATTTCATGTAAGGCAAAAGATACAGGTCTAGTTTTAATCTGGCATGTGGAAGGCCAGTTTTTCCAGCACCACATATTAAAGAGGCTACATTTCTTCCAGTGAAGGTGTGTGGCTCTGTTTTCAACGATAAGCTGTCTGGCCCTGTCTCATTTGCTCGCCAACATATTTCTGGTGTTAAGGTCCCCAGTGTTGACCGTTTGCTTGATTTCTTAACAATGTACATATACTTATTTTGAAGTGTGAGTATGTTGATAGGTCAAGGTTCATAAAGCTGTCTGAGCTCATCCAGTGTCTGTGTTTGATTTCAGAGATTGAGATGGTGATCATGGAGCGCAGCAAGCTCTCAGAGTTGGCCGCCAACACCTCTGTGCAGGAACAGAACACTACGGATGAGGAGAAGAGTGCCGCTGCCACATGCTCTGAGAACCTGCAGTGGAGCAGGTAGTCAGTCCCATGGCCCTGCTGAGCTTGCTGGTGCTGCTGGGTGGCCCTCGGCCTCACAGAGGAGGAATAGGGCTCAGCAAGGTTGAGTGCTTGTTTGTCCCTTCCAGATGGCCTCTTCTGTCTCAACCAGACCATGCTCTTTCCCTTCGCCCCCCAGACTTCTCTAGCTTCTGGCCACCCAGAGGCACAGCAGCTCCTCTCAAGAGGAATGGGGACATAGCTTCATGAGTGCTTGCCCCTTGGAAAGAGAATAGTTGGCACAGGATATCACCCAGCTGGAACACGTTGCAGCTGGGCCCCACCTAAATGCTGTGGGCCATACCTTGCCCTAACTGCTCTGGGGAGATCCCCACTGGAGTCTGGCTTAGATTTCCCTGTCTTGTTCATTCACTGCCTTCTATCTATAGGACTGCGCTACTATCTGTAAGTCTGCACTTAGGGCTCAGTTAGCATGTTCTATTGCAGCTGTCTGCCTTTGGCGTTGGGCTGATGAGTCATTTCAGTGATGGCCTGTGAAGCTGCATCTTTTCCACTGGGGCACACACATCTCCTGAACTGTACTCTGGTGCCACCCTTCCAAAAGGGGATAGTTCCCAAACTGTCCGGTGAACTGTTAAGGCTTCTGCATTACAGGGTGATTGCACTGCACAGGCCCCAGCTGATTCCTTTTGCACCTAATGACTCATTCATTTTCTGAACTAGGGTTGACCCCCTGCCATTTTACTTACTAATCCAACTGAAAGTGAAGAGTTGAAGCCCATTAATTCCATTCATTCATTCATTCATTCATTTTTGTCATACTGGGAATTGAAGCTATCACTTTTGTGCTGTCCCCAGCCCTTTTTTAAATTTTGAGGGTCTCGCCAAATTGCTAACTTATCCATGCTGGGCTCAAACCCATGATTTTGCTGCCTTAGCCTCTCAGAGTGCTGGGATTACAGGCACACACTACCACACCCAGCTGAAGCCCACTACTGTTTTGTCTCCACATCTTGTTTGTCTTTTTTCTTGGCAGATGTTTCAAGTATCTAATAGCGGGGATTAATTTTCATCAGATGTGCAAAAGAGCCATTTACAGTTTGTATCGAATAAAAACGTTGGACTGTGAATGATGTGGGCTGTTAGTTTTATAACCTATAAAGACCTTTTTGATTTTTGTGTAACAACAACAAAACATATAACTCCTGAAGCTCTGAAAATTCAGGAAGTTTTTCTAAGCGCAGAAAGTAGGGATAACCTTTAGGTACCTGTCACAGCACTGGAATACAAATAATCGGTAAAAACCACAATTAGCAGTGCAAGATGCTTTGCAAATGCAGGTGTATCTGCTTACTAGATTATTAGCTGCTGCTTTTAAGTGAATACTATGATGATATCTTCAGTTTCTTTGTATCTAATATATGGATGGAAACAATCAATGAAACATGTTTTGCACGATACAGTAGTACTGTAGCTTTGCTAAAAAGAAAAATATCTCTATTTTTCCTATTCTTTTTTAAAAATTTTTTTTGTCTATTTTTCATTTTTTTTTGGTACCGGGGATCGAACTCACAACTGCCTGCTTGCAAGGCAGGTACTTATGCCGCTGAGCTAACTCCCCAGTCCCTATTTTTCCTATTCTTTAAGAAGGAAACCAAAATGTATTTTTTTCATTAAGTTTAATGAAGAGAAAGGTTTCCTTTGAGTTGAGATTTTTTCTAATTTTGACTGACTCCAGCTGCATCTTTCACCATGTGACTTAGTCATAGAAGTTAACTTGGATGTCCTGAGTTAGGCCATCGTTAGGCCTGCCAAGCTTTGGGCCAGACACTGCTCTTCTCTGAAACTGCATGCCTGGGAAGAGGCTGTCCCAGGTGGAAAGCTATATCTCTGTTGCAGAGATACTTGGTCACTGATTGCCAGAGATTGTGACAGCCATCTGTCCCCTCCACTTCCAAGTGCTGAAAGGAGCACACAGAAGGGTAGCCACTTGTTCTCTATGATGGAAACTGCATCGTGGCTTTGGATGATCCACTTGTCCAAAGAAATAGCATAATAAAATGAGGAACTATTCTTATATTCCCAGTACATTGTGGGCTCTGTTTGCATTTAGAGTTAAGTATTAAGTTGAGCAACTAAAAATGTTTAAAACATTGCTTGTTTTTAAAAGTATAGTGAAGAGACAAATTCAGAAAATGTGAAAACCTTGAAAAATACAGAAGAAACAAGTCTTGATGATTCCACTATTCCAAGGCAAGCTTTGCTGCCTACCATTTTCATTCTTTACCTTTTTCTCAATGCAGCCTCCTGAGAATTCTGCCATCTTTCTTCCCATTAGCTCATTTCTATCATTTTTAAAAATTCCTTCTTTTTTCTATCTAATACCAAATCCAACCATCTTTTTCCTTTTGTTATACTCTTAGTAAACAAAACACTTAGTGAGTCCATAATAATTCATCTCATACATAAAAGATGGTAATACCCACCCACGGTTGCTTCTGTTATTGCACTTGGTTATTCATATTATTCCCAAATGGAAATGTAATCCAAACTGCAAACAACTGTTTTGTACAAAAAATGTTTTATACTTTATCTTACTCTCAAGTTTGGAAGAATTAGCACTGGAATAAAACCCAGATCCACACATGACAAAACTCTTCACACATCTGAAAGGTGGCAGGTGCTCTGCTGTGGCTCCAGAGAAACAGACTAAATATTGATGTCCCCTTTAATTTTTGTGTGTTCTACATATATTTGGAATGTTATGACAAGTACATTGTCATTGCTTTTTCTTTGCATTTTTAATTTAATATTTTATATTGATGATTTATTTATAGAACTCAAAATTCAGACAAGTATAAAAGATTTTGCAGAGAACAGATCCCCAGTTTTGCTTTGCCAGTGCTGTTAGTAGTTTGCATGCCCTTCCAGGTGTTAAATGTGCCTTTGATCCCTCACCAGTATGCTCTCTGGGCTTCTACCCGGCATCCAAAGCAGCAGCCACAAATAGTTACAGGATCAGAACCATCTGCCTGCAGGTCTGACCTGAGCATATTGTGTTATCCTTGTGTTGAAGAGTGCTCTAGGCCAGGCCCTGCTGCTGGAGCGCAGCGTTTGGGATATGCCATTTCCAATATTTGCCACTGCTCTTTAGATCTCACACACACAGCATCAAAGGTGAGAAACATTGCTATCCATTTGTATAGTCAGAGAATGTCAATCCAAAAAAATTGCTGGCCCAGGACTCTGCCAAAATGAAATTATGGAAAAGTGCCCTTGGAATATTAAAAATAGAAAGCAGATAGCAGCCACCAGGTGTTGACTCTCTATAGTGCCTGGCCCTGGGCTAAGTTCCTTTCAGCCACCTTCGCCCCTGAGTCTTCGCAGTAGTCCTGTCAGCTTCTAACCTGTAGTACAAAGGGGACCATGGGAGAAGCGGTTAGAAGTAACTTTCCTGAGGGTTTGCAGCAAAGAAGAGACAGAAGCAGGGTGTGAACCCAGGCATTCTGGCTCTGGGGTCCATATCTTTAAATTTGTTCATGTTGTTGTTGTGCTTTATGTAATATTACTGGTCTTTCATGATGCCCAGTTTTCTTCATTCTCTTGTGACACACATCACTTTGTGTCATCATGATGTATGTTTGTCTCTATTCCCTATCTGTGCCAACTGGTGTGGGAATGCCAAAGAAATGGGAACTTTGTATCATTGATCCCCAGTGTCTGGGACACTTGGTAAATGATTGTTAAGAGACTAAGTAACCTGTTCCTTGTTCAGTTTCTCCTGTAGATAGCAGCTTTCTATGGGGAGAATCTACCTCTTATTTGTGTTAGTGTCCCTAAGGCCAGGTGCTGGACTCTACACACTAGAGGGCCTTGGAGTACAGAGCTGAGAGGCAAGGGCAGCTGGCACCCCAGGGTGGGAGTGGGAGGGAATGTTCACTTTGTGCCAAGAGGTTCAACCATGCCCCTTCTCTTCCAGACCCTTTCTGGATATGGTGTACCATGCTCTGAACAGCCCGGACGATGATTACCATGCCCTCTTTGTGCTCTGCCTCCTGTATGCCATGTCTCATAACAAAGGTAGGCATGCTCTCACCTGCCTTTTTCCTATGACCTGATGGTGGCTAGATTGCCCCTGCTGCCATTTGGAGGAGAGAAGACAGCTCTTCTTGGGGGATTTTCTGGCTGCCAAAACCAGCTCCCCCAGTGCTCTTCTTCAGTCTCCTTCCGATTTTTCAGGTGCTTTCTTACAGACCGAAGCCACAGGAATTGTTGACTCAGGCAATAAGGGGGAAAGGTTAGTGTTGACTGTCTAACCCACTGTGACTGTCTCCACACTGTGGCTTTCTGTCAACCCCTTGCTTTACAATTGACTTAGCCAACAACCACTTTCCCAACATCAGAACTGAAATCAGTCAAACCATAACCTTGGTTTTGCTATTTATAATACTTGGTGTTCCTGGCTTTAGAACTAAAATAGACCTGAGTAGATTTTGTTAAAGTGTATATTTCCTTTCTAAAGAAAGGTGTGGTTCTCTGGCTTCCCCTATTGAGGCTGCGTGTTCAGGATCCAGCTCATGTGGAGTTGACAGTTGATTAGGATTCATCATTCCTCCCCTCACTGCTGACTGCTGGGAACAGCCGCTGGTGTTTCCCCCTCTGGCTTGACATGGCATGTTTGGGAACCTTCACATCAGGCTCTCATCAAAGAAGAATTAGGAAATATTTCTTCTAGCCTTGCCAAGAATTGAGGATGGCATAGATGACGTGTTACACTGTATCAAATAACAGTTTTAGGAGGCTTCTTATAAGTTTACTGAGAAGTTGATGGAGTTGGTTTTTACTAAGTCAGCCTGTGCTAGAGATATTGAAACATATCAATGCTGAGCATGGTGGCAGACACCAGTAATCCCAGCTACTTGGGAGACTGAGGCAGGAGCTGGAGGCCAGCTTGGGCAGCTTGATGAGACCATCTCTCAAAATAAAACAAAGAGAGCTGGGAACCCTAGGTTCAGTCCCCAGTATGGTAGCAAAAAACTCCAAAACAAACACAACTAACCTAAACTCAACATAACTAAGCATTTATTCTTAATCGTTAACTGTGAAACTAAGTCTTGTGGTAAATGAATATAGTGACAAAAGTCTGTCCCCACCTTCATCCTTTAGCTCACTTCCTCAAAGGCAGCTCATTCTACCAGTTTTTTGTGTGTCTTTTCAAAGATAACTGTGCAAACCCAAGTAGGAGTGCAGGCGAATTTACTGCTGCAACTATTCCCTGAACCATAAATGTGTCTCTTACGTCCCTCTCATATCATCTCATATCCTCACATACCAGCACGTTGCTTCGCATCCATGTAGAAGTGCCTGATTTTCTTTGATCATATGTCGGTGCCACCATTTGTTCTAATATCTTCTTAGCAGATGGCACTCAGACTGCTTCCAGGCTTTGTCCTCTTGTAGAGGGACCAGCCATAACTGCTTTGTTCAGGTATAAACCATTGTGCTCATTAGCATGTCTGAAGACCTAGAGTGAGACATATTTCTTTTTCTTTTTCTTCCCCCACCTAGAATCGGGGATCAAATGTAGCCCACACATGCTTGGCAAGTGCTCTAGCACTGAACTGCACCCCAGCCTCACAGCCTGAGCCTTTTGAAAGAAACACAGATAGCTCCAGATCCTGGGAACAGCCTGCCGACATTTCCCTCTGCAGTCTTAGTGTCTCCCATGGCTTCTGTAATTGCCTGTAATGCCTGACTTGATGCCTGACACACAGGGGCCTTCCATTACTGACTGAGAGCACAATGAACTCCATGAGACCTACCAACATCTACCTATGCTTTACCTACCACACTCCAGGCCTCACCTCTGTGCCCTCAACATTCCAGCACCTCAGCTTTAACTCCTCTCTGTTTTGGCAACACCTTGAAACACTGAGCTCCTATCCTGTAGGTACACACACTCCTGCCATTCTCTTCATTTGGAATTGCCAGCCAAGCTTGAAACTGCTGTGACCTCCAGCTCTTTCACTCCTGTGCTCCCAGCATTTACTCACCAGGTGTTGATTCTCCCTTTTCAGCCTATCTAATCAGCAGACTTTAACTCAACACCTACCCAGTACCTGGCTTTGAGCCAGGGCTGGAATGAGAGCAGAGGCACAGGAGTGTGTGGGGTCTGGCCCTGGCGTCTTGGAAGGGTCAAGCACACTGCTATTTTATGATCTGTCCTGTGTCCCGCTACCAGAAACCCTCTGCAGTAAGACTGCTTTGACCCCACCTTTCCTGTTCAAAAACCACTAGTATCTCCTTCACCGTTGCTCCAACCTCTGCCCTCTTGTACCTGTCATTTGGAGTATCTAGATTGCACCTACCTTTCTCCAACTTGATCTGATTCCTAGGACTTCCCTTCTTAGATCCTTTGCTCTCTCCCAGAGGCCTTCAAATTTTTTTGCAGTGACAAAACGCTAAACCCATTGCACCTGTCATGGTACCCACTGAAGTCATGATTTTTTGTGGACATGCAACAGAAAGTGCTGCTGTTTATTACCTGAAGCTAAAAAGAAAGCCTATCATAGGAAGGCTTCTGGGGCAGCTCACAGGATGCAAGAGGTTGCTGAAAAGCCTAGATCAGGACCTTTAGCCTACCAGATCCAGGGACCAAACAACTCTGGGTACCACAGCCTTCCCTCAGTGGCTGATTTTGTCCCAGCAAGGCTGAGAGTCTGTCTATTCCAGGTTCAAACTCTTTTTTTTTGTTTGTTTGTCAGCACTAGGGATTGAATTCACGACCACAAGCTTGCAAGGCAGGCGCTTGTGCCATTGAGCTAAATCCCCAGCCCCCAGGTTCAAATTCTTAGACAGGATTCTAGCTTGATGGTATCTAACTGTGGAAAAGTACTTGGTCTCAAGGGCTCAGTCCTATGTGGGGGGTCTGTTCTCTAGAATGGAAGTCCTTTGGAAGCCTGGCAACCAACCTGGTCAGTGTCAGTACACTTACCTGTTTCTGGAGCCTAGTTTCTTTATCTTTGGTAGGTTTTCCTGCTTTTTTTGTTTTGTTTGTTTGTTTGTTTGTTTGTTTTCCTGCAACATTATCACCTATTGAAATGCTGCTTGTCTGTCAGAGTTCTTCCCAGAAGTCACCTTCTTCGGAAAACCCTTTCCAGTATCTCAGGGTTAATGCCACCTACTCTGGCACTTTGATGGATTTGATTTGCTAACATTTTGTTAAAAAGTTTTGCATGTATATTAATGAATGATACTGGTATGGAGTCTTCTGTCTAGTTTTGCTCTCAGCATTTGCTTACTTACAGAATGAACTGGAAAGTATTCTCTCCTCAATTTTCTGAAAATAGATTTTATAGAACTAGCATTATGTCTTTTTAAAATGTTCTTTAAATCAATGAAGCCACCTGGGCTTGGAGTCTGTTTGTTTTTGCAGTATTAGAGATTTAAACACAGGGCCTTACTAAGTGAGTGTTCTACCACTAAGCTACATCTCTAGCCCCTTTTTAAATTTTGCTTTGGGATTGGGTCTTACTAAGTTGCTCAGTCGGCCTATAACTTGCCATCCTCCTGCCTTAACCTCCTCAGCAGTTAGGATTATAGGTGTACACTCTCATGTCCAGCTGAGCAGGTTTTTAATCAGTTTTTCAATAGATAGAAAGCTGTTTAAGGTTTTCTGTTTCTTCTTGAGTGAGGTCTGGTTAATTTGTGTGTGTCAGAGAATTTGTCATTTCATCTAAATTGTTGAATTTCTCATCATAAATTTGTTCATAATACTCCTTTATTATTTTATTGCCTGTAGAATCTGTAGTGATGTCCTCCAGTTCATGATATTGATAATTTGGATCATAGTTTTTTGTTTCTGTTTTTTTCCTGACCAATTTGGCTAGAGGATTATCAATTTTATTGGCATTCTTTTTTTTTTTGGCTTTTTATCGTTTTTATCGGTACCAGGGATCGAACTCACGACTGCCTGCTTTCAAGGCAGGTGCTTATGCCGCTGAGCTAAATCCCCAGCCCTTTATTGGCATTCTTTATCATCTTAAGGTTTTCAGTTTCTTTATTCATTACAGTCTACTGCTTATTTCAGATTTATTTATTTATTTATTTATTGTCTTTTTCCTTTTTATCAATACTGGGGATTGAACTCATGACTGCCTGCTTGCAAGGCAGGCGCTTATGCCACTGAGCCAAATCCACAACCCTTATTTCAGATTTAATTTGCTCTCCTTTGTATAGTTTCTTAAGCTAGAAGCTTGGAATATTGACTAAGTTAGTTCATTTATTTTATTTTTAAATTAATACAGAGTAAGATTAACTTCTTGCATATAATTTTGTGAATTTTAGCACATGTGTATTTATGTGAACATCACCACAATCAGGATGTAATACAGTTTCTTGACCAAAAGTATACCTTCATTCTATTCCTTTTTCAGTTACGTCGACTTTAAACCTGTACAACTTTTTAGCTTTGTTCTTTTATAAGAATTTAATACTGTCAGTGTCTGAGTACTGATTTAGCTGCATGCAGTAAATTTTTATGTATGTAGTTTATTTTCATTCATTTTAAGGTATTTTACAATTAACTTTTTGATTTCTTCTTGTCTATCATCTGTGCAATGTCATGCTGTGTTTCTATTAATTTTTTCTTTTGCTTTTGGATTCTAGTCTCCTACTCCATTTATATTGGGGGTGGGGGTGGGGGTGTGTCTGGTAACTTTTGATTGGTTGACAGTTAGTGTGAATTTTGCGTTGTGGGATGCTGTGTTCTTTTTTCCTTTAAATATTTTTGATCTTATGGTTGTTACTTGGAATTGGTCTGCTTCTTGCTGAGGCTTGCTTAGTCTTAGTAGGACTGGTCCAGACAGCCTCTAGTCTGAGACTAACATGGCCCCCACTGATGAGGCAATGCTTTTCTGAGAGTTTACACACTCCCCTGTGGATAAGACACCTTTGCACACAGCTCCCCCCCCCCCTTGTGCACTCCACCTGCTCCATAACAGTAGCTGTTTTCCTCTCCTTACATGTGTGCAGATACCAGAACTTAGCCCAGAAGGAACCATCTGCACATCTTGGATGCT